TAGTAATAATAATAATAATAATAATAATAATAATAATAATAAAGTTGGAAGGAACCTTGGAGGTCATCTAGTCCAACCCCCTGCTCAGACAGGAAACCCTAGACCATTTCGGACAAATGGCTGTCCGGTCTCTTCTTAAAAACTTCCAGTGTTGGAGCATTTGCCGCTTCCGGAGGCAGGTTGTGATTAGAGGTAGTTCTCAGCTTACATCACCTTCGATTAGTGACCGAAGTTACAACGGCTTGGGCAAAAAGTTACCACCGATCCTCACCCTTGCAGCATCCCCAGGGTCGTGTGATCAAAATTCAAATGCTATTTATGGCGGACCGAGGGCCACGCGATTGCTATTGATGACCTTCCCGGTTGGCATCCAACAAAGTCAACGGGGAAGCCTGATTTGCTTAATGACATGTGATTTGCTTAACGACTGCGTGAATTGTCTATAGGTATTCTCAGTCATCCAGGTCAGGGTTGTCCCAAAGGTGATTTTTCAGGAGGCATCTGGACTTTCTTATTTTTCCTTTGAAGATGTTTCGCTTCTCATCCCAGAAGCTTCTTCAGCTCTGACCGGATGGTGGGGAATAGAAGGACTTATACTCCTTGCAGACAGCCGGTCATTTGCATCCTTTCAGAGTCGTTGAAGTCACTTGGAGGTTTGTCTGTGTCCTGAAGGTCATCTGAGTGGTGCAAATGGGTGTGGAGCCTACTTTGCTGCAGGATGTTTTCTGCCCTGTGTCCCTCCTGTAGTCAACAAGGCTCCACACCCATTTGCACCACCTTAAGAACACAGAAAAACCTCCAAGTGGCCTCAACGACTCTCTCAAAGGATGCAAATGACCGGCTGTCTGCAAGGAGTATAAATCCTTCCATTCCCCTTGAAGACGTTTCCCTTCTCATCCAAGAAGCATCTTTGGCTCTGATTGGATGGTGGGGAACAGAAGGGTTTATACTCCTTGCAGACACTGGTCATTTGCACTCTTTAAGAGAGTCGTTGAGGCCACCTGGAGGTTTTACCTGTGTCCTCGGGGTCACCCGAGTGGTGCAAATGGGTGTGGAGTTCCTTTCAACAGTTCTAAGAAGGCTCTACAGCCATCTGCGCTTCTGAGGTGACCCTGAGGACACAACTCAGCCTCCAAGTGGCCTCAACGACACTCTAAAACAGTGGTTCTCAACCTGTGGGTCGGGACCCCATTTGGGGTCGAACGACCATTTCACGGGGGTCGCCAAACAACGCAGTCCGCCATTTTTCCCCCCTTTTCCTTAGCTGTGCTACTCCCTTTTATTCTATTGGCTTTTGAAAGCCAATAGAATAGATTCTCTTGAGTAGAGTCTAATTCTATTGGCTTTCAAAAGCCAATAGGAATTGTCCAGGCTGTCTCTGCCCTGCTGAGCCCGCCAAAAGTCCCAGTCTGCAAACGGTGCTGCAAGTTGTCTGCAGCGAAGGCGAGCTGTCTGGAAGCTTCCACCCCTCCCTGCTGAGCAACTACTAAAAATGTAAGTAAAAGAGGGTCAGGGGTGGGAGGTGGGAGGTCGGCGGGCGCATGGAGGGTTGCTGGCGCACGTGGGGCCCGGCGGGGGCCTTACCTCCCTTGGGCTGGGCCAGCTGGTGGCCCAGCCGGTGGTCGCCCTGCGCCGTCTCTGCCCCTTGCCAGCTACGCCTCGGCCGGCACAGAGGGCGGCACCACGCATGCGCGGCGCTCCCGGGCAGGGAAAGTCCTCGACTTACGACCGGTTGGGTAGTCCTCGACTTACGACCGGTTGGGGGTCGTGGCATTAAAAAGGTTGAGAACCAGTGCTCTAAAAAAAAATGCAAATGACCAGCTGTCTGCAAGGAGTATAAATCCGTACGTTCCCCACCAGCCAGTCAGAGCTGACGAAGCTTCTGGGATGAGAAGAGAAAGGTCTTCAAAGAAAAACAAGAAAGTCCTGCTGAAAAATCACCTTTGGGAGGGAAGAGGAGAAGAAAGATGGGAGGGAAAGAAGGAGAAGAGAGACAGACAGAAAGAGAGAGACAGAGAAAGAAAGAACAAGAAAGAAGAGGAGGAGGAGGAGGGGGAAAGAAAAAGGAAGGGGAAGTGAAGGATAAGGGAAAGAAAGAGGAAGGAGGAGGAGGAGGAGGAAGAGGAGGAGGAGAAGAAGGAGGCCTTTTCAAATGGCTTCAACGACTCTAAAAGAAGGCAAATGACCGGCTGTCTGCAAGGAGTATAAATCCTTCCATTCCCCACCCTCCAGTCAGAGCCGAAGAAGCTTCTGGGATGAGAAGCAAAACGTCTTCAAAGGAAAAATAAGGAAGTCCAGTTGCCTCCTGAAAAGGCTCCTTTGGGACAACTGCATCAATGCATCTTTATCTTAATATAGATGCTACAAGTGTCTTGAGGATAGTGTCAATGCTGCTGACATCGGATGTTTTTGCATTGACAACAGATGGAAATGTAGCCATCTTTTTCCCTTCCGCTTTTAGTGTTAGATGATGCTGGGAGGGGGGATGTGAACAAGAGTCCGGCTAGACATAACAACACTAAACCTAGTGTGAGAATCAAGGTTATTGAAATAAGAGATGATAAGAATTGGCCGGGCTGGAGAACTGGAGGGAAAGCCTGGCTTCAAGCTAATTGGGGAATGTGATTTATGACTGTTAATTGGAGGAGGGAATTGTGCTTGGATACTAAGTGCCCAGGGGAGGGGAATTCATTTTTTGGCTTCGATTACGCAGTGCTGAAATTATGCTACTCAAAATAAAGATTCTTTACGCTAAACAACACCTCAAAAGTTCTTTTGAACAGTTTCATCTGTCGGAACCATGACAGATAGAATGGAAATGAAATAGCCACATATGGGTGGTCCCCGACTTTTGACAAGAATGGAGCCCAAAATTTCCACAGCTAAGTAAGACAGTTGTGAAGTGGGTTGTGCCCCATTTAGTGACCATTTTTGCTTCGGTTGTTAAGTGAATCGTGTGGTCACTAAGCAAACCTGGCTTCCCCCATTGACTTCGCTCCTTGGAAGCCAGCTGGGGGGGTGGCAAATGGGGAACACGGGATCCCATGATGTGGCAACCGACATCAGTACGAGTCAGTGGCCAAGCGCCCGAATCCTGGTCACGTGACCAGGGGGAGGCTGCAACGGTTGTGGAAAAAGTCATGGCACTTTTTTCGTTCTCATTTCGAACGGTCACTAAATGAATGGTTGTAAACCGAGGATTATCGGTCTTGCTTATCTTTGCAAAATTATGTGCCCTGAGATTTAATTTTTCCCCCCTGTTTTCAATGCATATTTTTCTTAGTAGTAGAAATGCCACAATTGTCCCCAGGGTGACATAGGAATAGAATAGAATAGAATAGAATAGAATAGAATAGAATAGAATAGAATAGAATAGAATAGAATTAAACCACAATTAATAGAATAGAATTATGGAATGGAATGGAATGAAATGGAATGGAATAGAATAGAATAGAATAGAATAGAATAGAATAGAATAGGATAGGATAGGATAGGATAGGATAGGATAGGACAGGATAGGATAGAATTATGGAAGGATAGGATAGAGTAGGATAGGGTAGGGTAGGGTAGGATAGAACAGAATTACAGGATAGAACAGAACAGAATTACAGAACAAAATAGAATTACAGAATAGAATAGAATTACAGAACAGAATAGAATTACAGAATAGAATAGAATTACAGAACAGAATAGAATTACAAAATAGAATAGAATAGAATAGAATAGGACAGGACAGGACAGGACAGGATAGAATTATGGAATAGGATAGGATAGGATAGGGTAGGGTAGGGTAAGTAGAGTAGAATAGAATAGAATTACAGGATAGAACAGAACAGAATTACAGAACAGAATTACAGAACAGAATAGAATTACAGAACAGAATTACAGAACAGAATAGAATTACAAAATAGAATAGAATAGAATTTAGACTAGAATAAAGCAGAAGAGAATTCAGACTAGATTAGACTAGAATGACACAGTTGGAAGGGACCTTAGAGGTCATCTAGTCCAACCCCCTGCCCAAGCAGGACACTTCCCACCCACACCATTTCTGACAGGTGGCAGTCCACTTCTCTTCTTGAAAGCTTCCAGGGATGAAGTAACACAGCAACTAATAAAACAACAACATTCCAATATGCTCCTTGCAGGGACGAAACTGCCCCAGAAAAAAAGGTCAAGGTGACACCCATCCTCCTGGCGCAGCAATTCCAAGCGGTCACTCCTGGTTACCGTGACACCCCCCCCCACCTCCACCTTCTCTTGTCTTCTTTGAGGACCCCCCAAGCAGTTAGCCGAGCACAGAAATCCCAGCCAGATCCTGAACCAATTTCTCAGGTGTGGCTCACCTCACCAGGCAGTCTCAAGTCTGGTGGGCAGCGAGCATGGCAGCTACCACAGTCAGTAGCCACGGGTGGCAGCGGCGGGGGCGCCCGACCCAGCGTGCAAACCACGGATGCAAGCTCGCAGGGGGCTTCCCTGCAAAGGGCGCGGGGGTGCAAGGGGAGAGGTACCCCCTTTCCCGCGAGGCTTTGGGGTTCCTGGCCAGAGCTGCGGCCGCCCCCTCCCCCTGCACTGCCATGGCTCCAGCTCCACTTCCGGGCCTCTTCGCCGCCCCCTCCCCACCCGCAAGGCCGCGAGGGACCCCCGCAGACTTCCCCCCCCCCGAAAGAAGAGAGAGAGAGAGAGAGAGAGACAGAGAGAGAAAGAGAGAGAGAGAGACGCCAGGAGCAGCCGCTGCGCCGCCACACAGGTGGGTCCGGACAGGCCTTTTGCAACCTGGCGCCCGCGGGCGCCACCGACTGCCCCAGCCCCTTCCCACGCGGGCGGCAAGCTGGGGCGGGCGGTGCCCGGCGTGGGGGAAGGGGAGGAGGGGGCTCCCTCTCGCGGGGACGGGCGGGAGGGTGGTGCCCGCGCCGACTCCAAGTCCCATGGTCCCCCGCTGAAGCGCTGCTCCGTGGGCTGCGGCGCGCGTGGAGGGAGACGGGGCGCCCCGTTCCACGCGCACCTCCCCCCCCCTTTGTGCACCGCGGCGGGGGCGCCTCCTCCTCCTCCTTCCTTCCTCCACCCTCCTCCTTCCTCTTCCTCCGCCTCCTCCTCCTCCTCTGCCGGCGTGCCAGCAGCTCCGGGGCCCGGCTGTCGCTCGGCTCCCCGCGGCCCGGCCCGGCCCCGCGGCGCCCATGCGGCTGCAGCCCCGGCCAGCCCCTCGCCCCGGTGCCAGGAGGATGCTGGCCGCTTCTCCCCGAGCTACGAAGGGCGCCGAGAGCCGCTACCCGCTGCACGCGCTGGTCTGGCGCGACCGCCCCGCCGAGCTGGACAGAGCGCTGAGCAACGGCCAGCAGGTGGGTCGGGGGTCTGCCCGGGTCGGGGCCGGGGGTCTGCGAGGGAGGAGCCAGCCTCCGCACCCCCAGGACCCTGTAGCGGGGCCGAGGCGGGGCTGCGGAGGCATCTGGAGGGCGAGGCTGGGCGACCCCCGCGGGACCCCCTCCCTTTAAGGCGGGGGCGCCGCTTCCCCTCCCCCCTCCCTCTCCCCCAGCCCCGAGAAGGCGGGTTCTGGGGCATCTGCAGAGGGCCTTTTGTTCAGCAGCCCCCGCATCTTGGGGGGGTGGGGGGATGGAGGGAGGGAGGGGGGGCAGCCTCACCCTTTCCCGGGTATCCTCCAGCATCTCTGCCCCCCACATCCAACATCCGTGGGCAGCCCCCCCTCCCTCTCCGTCTCGTTTTCGCGGGGGTGCCTCTGTCCACGGTGTCAAGGCTGCCCTTCCCTTCTCTCCTGGCTGCTCTCCCCCCCCCCGCAAGAAAACCACAGGCCACATGGCGGCTGGCTCTCTTAAGTGGCCAGACCGGCAGCTGGAAGTCCAGGTGCGGCCGCGGGCGGGCGGGGGGGGGGGAGAGAGGTAAGAAGATCAACCACCCCTTTTGAAACGTGGTGAAGGGGATCTGGGAGTGGGGGGTGTGTGTGTGTGTGGAGGAAAGCCCACTGGAGCCTCCAGAAAGATCTGCCTTGCATAGTCCAGTTGGTCGCTTTCTTTCTGCTCCAGGGTCAAGGGTCCAAAGCGGTGTTTTCTGGGGGGGCGGGGCGGCTGTCTGGTTGCTGCCCCTGTTTTGGGGGCTTCAAAGACCCCTGTCCCAAGAGCAGTCTACCTCTGGAGCAAATAGCTGTTGAGTTGGGTTGATCCCTGGAGGTTAGTCTGAAATGGTGGAGGGTTTCCTGCTTGAGTAGGGGGCTGGACTAGAAGACCTCCAAGGTCCCTTTTGTTATTCTGTGATTCTGTCAGGGTCTCCTGCTTGAGCAAGGGGCTGGACTAGAAGACCTCTAAGGTCCTTTCCAAAATTCTGTGATTCTTTAAGAGTCTCCTGCTTGAGTAGGGGGCTGGACTAGAAGACCTCCGGAGGTCCCTTTCAACTCTGCTGTTCTGTGATTCTGTCGGGGTCTCCTGCTTGAGCGAGGGGGCTGGACTAGAAGACCTCCAAGGTCCCTTCCAAAATTCTGTGATTCTTTAAGAGTCTCCTGCTTGAGTAGGGGGCTGGACTAGAAGACCTCCAAGGTCCCTTTTGTTATTCCGTGATTCTGTCAGGGTCTCCTGCTTCAGCAAGGGGCTGGACTAGAAGACCTCCAAGGTCCCTTCCAGCTTTATTCTGATTGGTTGATTGATTGATTGATAGCCTTCAGAGACCCCGGGTAAGGTTCTCTGTCACTTCTATCAGCAAAATTCTGGATTTAGTTTCACTGGTGGACCTAACCAAACCATTTTAGTAGTTCTCAACTTACAACAGTTCATTTATTGACCGTTCAAAGTTACAGCAACGCTAAAAAAAAAAAATGACCTAGGATGTTTTTCACCCTTACAACTATTGCAGCACCCCCATCTTCCCGTGATTCAGACGCTTGGCAACTGACTCACATTTATGACGTACTTGCAGCGTCCCCGTGTGTGTGTGTGTGTGTGTGTGCGCGCGCGTGTGTGCCATGATCCCCTTTTGTGACCTTCTGAGTCAAAGAGGGAAGTCGGATTCACTGAACAGCCGTGTTGCTAACTTTAACAACTGCGGTGCTTCCCTTAATGTCTTTGGCAAGACAGGTCATTAAATGGGGCAAAACTCAACTGTCTCGCTTTAGCAATACAAATTTTGGGCTCCTTTGTGGTCGTAAGTCGAGGACTACTGGTGTTTGGTAAATCTTTGTATGGTTTGTTTGTTTATGATACATGTATGGGCGGGGGGTTGGACTAGATGACCTACAGGGTCCCTTCGAACTCTGTTATTGTATTCTATTCCATCCCATAATTCTATTCTATTCTATCCCATAATTCTATTCTATTCTGTTCTGTTCTATTCTAATTTTAATTCTATTCTATTTTATTCTATTCTATCCCATAATTCTATTCTAATTTTAACTCTATTCTAATTTTAATTCTATTCTATTCTATCCCATAATTCTATTCTTTCTATTCTATTCTATTCTATTTTAATCTGTTCTGTTCTAATTTTAATTCTATTCTATTCTAATTTTAATTCTATTCTATTTTATTCTATCCCATAATTCTATTCTAATTTTAATTCTGTTCTAATTTTAATTCTATTCTATTCTATCCCATAATTCTATTCCATTCCATTCCATTCTATTCTATTCTATTCTAATTTTAATTCTATTCTATTCTATCCCATTCCATTTCATTCCATTCCATTCTATTCTAATCTAATCTGTTCTGTTCTGTTCTAAGTTTAATTCTATTCTATTCTAATTTTAATTCTATTTTATTCTATTCTATCCCATAATTTTATTCTAATTTTAATTCTATTCTAATTTTAATTCTATTCTATTCTGTCCCGTAATTCTATTCCATTCCATTCCATTCCATTCCATTCTATTCTATTCTAATTTTAATTCTATTCTATTCTAGTTTTAATTCTATTCTATATTTTATTTCTATGCCGCCTATCTTGCCTAAAACTTTAATCTCGCTAGAGAGTTGGGAAGAACGGTTGGCTGTAGACATCCAGGCGAAGGCCAGGCCAGCCAACATTGGGCTGACTCGGCTGTCTAAAGATCGAGCCTCCATGTTGAACAGCAGTCTACCTGTGCGGAATGGAAGCTGGGAAGCCGCAAGCAGGCTATAAACTCAGAATGGGGAGCCAAGTCACATTTCAGCCGCGACAGATGTGTCCCTCGTTGGCTTCATGCCTGGGGTGTAACTTCGCTACCATTTGGAAATCATGGCTTATTTGCAAGCCATGTTTCAGCAAACCACGATGTGGCATCGCGGGTGAACCCAGGAAGAGCCAAATTGTTAGATCTTTGGAGCATCGTTGGTGGAGCTCATCTAGGCAAACCCACCCTTGAATTTATACAATACCGGGTAATCCTGACGACCAGTTTAGCAGCTGTTCAAAGTTACAACGGCGTCAAAAAGGGACTTGCTACTTACGACCGTTGCGGTGTCCCCATGGTTACATGATCACGGCAACCGTCCTGTCTTTATGATGCTTGCAGTATCCTGGGGATCATGTGATCACCATTTGTGACCTTCCCAGAGGGCCAGATTTGCTTAACGACTGTGTGATTCACTTAACAACCGCAGGGGATTCACTTAACAACCATGTGATTCACTTAACAACCGCAGGGGATTCACTTCCTAATCAGGCCTAAAATTGTGCAGGATTCACTTTCACAACCCATGGACATTCCCGGGCCCGTTGTAGTCGGAAGTCTAGGTCTACCTGTGCGAGAATCGCAAAAGGTAGGCGTTAGATCAAGAGGACTAGCAGCAGCGTGATTCCTTGTTGACCTGGAGCTGAGTTCCAGTCCTGGTAGCCTGTGACCTGCAGAGAGGCTGGGGCAGACTTCCCATAAGACAATTAACACAATCATCTCTTTTCCCTGGGCTCCTGTCGCTGCTGGGAGGGGAAAACAGATTACCCAGAAAATGCAGGCTTCCTGGTTGATCTCTTGGGATCCCTTTTCCCACAATGCCAGATTCGGTCTGGGGGTCACTCGGAGAACGAAACCCCAGCCCATTGTTTGTGAGACGCCTAGCTGCTTCCTGCTTATCTCTGCTTCTTGTGTGTGTGTGTGTGTGTGTGTGTGTTTTCTTTATCCGTGTTGTATGAGGATACGCCACGCCCGCTGCGGCTTGGCTGGGCTGTTGTGGGTCAACACGGAAGATCCTGGGTTTACACGGGTCACCTTGGCCATAGGGGCAAGTCCAGGCCATCGTGGCTGGTGGGGTGGGGTGGGGGAGGCGCCCCTCTTTTTTGGCATTTTGGGAGAAAGTCACAATCACGACAAGGCTGTCTGAAGTGCAGAAATGGCGTCAGAGCGTTGTGAGGCTGTGTGGAGCTGTTTTGTCACGAGGGTGTTAGAAAGGACAGCAAGCACCACAACAACAAATGTTGACAAAGAAGGGAGGGTGGCAGCAAAGGGGTTGAAGGTGTTGGCTGTAAATATTTAGAGTGTGATTGCCCTCTTTCTTTCTTTCTTTCTTTCTTTCTTTCTTTCTTTCTTTCTTTCTTTCTCTTTTTTCTTTCCTTCCTTCCTTCCTTCCTTCCTTCTCTTTCTCTCTCTCTCTCTCTTTCTTTCTTTTCTTTCTTTCTTTCTTTTTCTTTCCTTCCCTCCTTCCTCTTTTCTTTCCCCCTTCCCCTCCTCTACTTTCCCTTTCCTTCCTTCCTCCTTTTCTTCCTCCTTTCTTTTTCCCCTCTTCCCCCTCCCTTCCACTCACCCACCCTTTCCTACTTCCTTTCCTTCCTTCCCCCTCCCTTCCCCCCACCTTTCTCCCCTCCTTCCTTCCTTCCTCCCTTCGACCCACCTTTCCCCACTTCCCTTTTCCTTCCATCCTCCCTTCCACCCCCTTCCCCCTTCTTCTTTCCTTCCTCCCTTCAACCCACCCTTCCCCACTTCCCTTTTCCTTCCTTCCTTCCTCCTTTCTTTCCCCCTTCCCCCTCCCTTCCACCCACTCACCCTTTTCTACTTCCCTTTTCCTTCCTTCCTTCCTTCCTTTCCCCCTCCCTTCCCCCCACCCTTCCCCACTTCCCTTTCCCTTCCTTCCTTCCCCCTTCCTCCTTCCTTCCTTCCTTCCTTCCTTCCTTCCTTCCTTCCTTCCTTCCTGTCTGTCCAGTTTCTTCTTAAAAACTTCCAGTATTGGAGCATTCACCGCTTCTGGAGGCAGGATGTTCCACTGGTTAATTGTTCTCACTGTCAGGAAGTTTCTCCTTAGTTCCAGGTTGCTTCTCTCCTTGATTAGTTTCCACCCGTTGCTCCTTGTCCTGCCTTCAGGCACTTTGGAGAATAGCTTGACTCCCTCTTCTTTGGAGCAGCCCCTGAGATACTGGAATGCTGCTATCA